CACCTGAGCTCAATTTCAAATCTTATAGCAAAGGGTCTGAATACTTATATAAATAAGGTATTTCAGTTGTTTAAAAAAAATACATTTTCAAACATTTCTAAAAACCTGTCTTCGCTTTGACATTATGGGTTATTGTGTAAAGATTGATGAGTCATTTAAAAAAAATTGAATCCATCTTAGAATAAGGCTGTAACGTAACAAAATCTGGAAAAAGGGAAGGGGTCTGAATACTTTCCGAATGCACTGTAAATCAGAGGTATTCAAATTAGAAGTTGCCTGGTCTATGTGGTCTTTATCTCTAGCATCTCATGAACAAGTGACATAACTGACGGATAATACAGTTGATTGTGCATTGCAATTTCTACTCCCGTCTATTCTAAACTAAATGTGTACGTAACATTCTTCACATGACAGCTTGTCTGTTGTCTCTCAATATTCAGCACCGTTTTTACACACTATCTGACAGCTCAGAGGGCCTGATAGCAGAGGCATAAAATGACAATGCCCAAATGCACACAGTCTTCCTTTGTTGTCACGCATCACTTTGTGACAGTTCTCAAGGGACATCGGGCTTCAATACGTTCCCTCCCTTTATATCTTTCCCTAGACGCACAACTGTAATTGTGTGCAAATCCTCAAATCCTGGAAGGACCACTGTTACATCCAATTATTTCCTGTATGATTCTGGAGCTTGTATCCAGTTGTGACCATCTAACAGTCCAGTCAACCCCACATACTCTCTGTCCATATAAGGTGTCGTTTGTAACATGCTATATGTTGTGCAACTGATTAATTCCATGCCACAAATAATGAATCTGTTTCAGAACATATAGTATGTTAGCAGCGGCACCCCAAATGTCCCTGATTCCCAGGGAGCGATGGATGGGCAAGCGAAGCCACTTTATACTCGTTCAACTCAATTACAGGCCTTGCCTGCATTTACCATTTCGCAAGTGGCCTGAGTGGAGTGGATTAGGTCCCTTGCCCCGAGCTGGCAACCATATAGCAGTTGTGTCGCCTCCCACTGCTGCAGCCAAGCAGCCAACCCCAACTCCAATGATCACGTGCCCAGGCAGTTCAATTCCTGCAGGGATCACATACACATCCTACAAATGTATGCACTCACAAAATGTGACTCACTCTGGAAAAATGTGTCTCCTAAATGGCATATTTTATTATTTGTATTATATTATATTATATATAATTATATAGACCTATAATTTCCTCCTCCACATTGTAGCCTCTCATTCACACATGCCTCAGCATCATTCCCCCTTGATTTGTATCTGATGTGACACTGAAAAAGCGTACAAGATAACTCAATGGATATGAATGGATAATGGAAGACCATTGATTGCCTTGTGGCTTTCGGAACGGTCCTCTCCTTTGTCCCCGAGGTGAAAAAATGTATAGATTGATATAGCGATTCAGGCCATTGTTGCCATGGTACTTTGCAGACTTTTCATAGATTGCGTTTTGAAGAAAATATACACATTGGCCTGCATCTTTTGCTTTTATTTATGTGTGCTGCTGTTTGGTACAGCGTCCTTAACTGGCATCCATCTCTCGTCTCGACGATGAGTTATCCCACAGACGTAGTCTCTCCATTACCCACAGTGCAGTGCCTCGGTGCGCCTGCTGTTTCATAGGGCAGTAAACTACCTCTGCTTTATGATGCCTCCCTGGTGAGTATATCAACCAAGGAGAACGAGAGCCAGAGGAATACGTGTTCACGTGCAAACTAAAGCAAAAAATATAGTCTGAGTAATAGTCTGAGTAAGTCTGAGTAAGAGTCACCATTAATAAATATTGATTTCAGGTATTTTATTATGAGCATTCAGTTACTGTTCGATTGAACGTTAGAATGGGCAAAACGAGTTACCTAAGCGACTTTGAGCGTGGTATGATCGTCAGTACTAGGCGCGCCGGATCCAGAAACGGCGCCCTCCTGGGCTTTTCACGCACAACAGTGTCTAGGGTTTACCGAGAATGGTGCGACAAACAAAAACCATCCAGTCAGCGGCAATCATGTGGGCGAAAACATCTTGTTGATGAGAGAGGTCGAAGGAGAATGCCAAAAATCGTGCAAGTTAACAGGCGTGCCACAAACAGACAAATAACGGCACAGTACAACAGTGGTGTGCAGAATGGTATCTCGGAACACACAACTCGTCGATCCTTGTCAAGGATGGGCTATTGCAGCAGACGACCACAGCGGGTTCCACTCCTATCAGCTTAAATCAAGAAGAAGTGGCTCCAGTGGAAGAAGAAGTGGCTCTCGACTCATCGTCGAGACGAGAGATGGATCAGCAACACTGGACAACTGAGGAGTAGAAAAACATTGCCTGGTCTGACGAATCCCAGTTCCTGTTGCATCATGCTGATGGCAGATTCAGGATTTGGCGTCAGCAGCATGAGTCCATGGACCCATTATGCCTGGTGTCAACGGTACAGGCTGGTGGCGTACTGGTGTGGGGAAAGTTTTCCTGGCACATGTTAGGTCCATTGATACCAAATGAGCAACGATTGAACCCCACAGCGTATCTGAACATTGTTGCTGACCAAACCCAATAGAGCATCTTTGGGATGAGATGGAATGGGCTGTTCGCAGCATGAATGTACCGCCATCCAATCTGCAGCGACTGCGTGATGCCATTGTGTCAGAATGGACCAAAATTGAAGCACAACAACAAAGATGTATTTTGCTGGTCTCTGTTGCCATGCACTGAATAGTGGATGCTTGTCACCTCAAACGGTTGCCTTGCAAAGATAAATGCTTCAACAATTGGTGAAAGTGTTGCAAACCTCTTAACCCAAACAAAATTACATGAATAATAGCTAGGAAAATAATTAAGAAACGACCAGAAGCTTCCATGTCTACAGAAAGGCTCCATTTGTTTCAGTTTTAGTTCCTTTCCAACTCTTTATCAACTTTGAAAAATCCTGAAAGCCATCAGCGGCATCAGTGGCTTCAAAGCCATCAGTGGCCCCCCCGATGTCTGACAGCTGCTGAAGTCTGACTCATTCTGTCTCCCTGTCTCACACAGCCAACCATCCACCAATCACACGCCCAAGTCTATACCGCTCCCGACCCATATTCACCTTCCATCATTTTGGCTCAGCTTTTTCTGGGGGTCCCCAATGACAGGTTTTAAAAAAGCTGATCTAGGACACAATTCCTCACAACAACCTAGGATGCAGCTGCCCTCAGGTGGCTGAGGCTTTTTTCCCTCTCTCTTTTTTCCCTTATTTTTCTCAGATTTTCAGTTTTTTTACTTTCAGCTAAAATTGTATATTAAGTGGTGGCTTGTCTTGCCCCGACTGTTTCTTTGCCTGTGGTCAGTGCAGCACAGTCTAGGGGCCATGCCGTATCCAGCACTTAACCATGAAAGCCTTTCAAGCGGAGACTGGCCTAGCTGCCAGCAGGCACTGAGCTGTCAATTGGTTTGATTCGAATTCTTCTAATGGAGTTGTGAGCTATGAAACGTCAGTCTAAAATGTTTTGATTGCCCCCAACCCTGTACACATCAATTTACACAAACATCAATCTCCGGCAAAAAAAAAAAAAAAAAATGCAGGACATGTGTTTGGACGTTTATGACTATGGAAGCGCTTTCTGGTTGTTTCGACACAGTCGATAGTTCTGTTGTAATGCATTGCCAATATTTCATGGCCGTGGCACACAGCAGTGTGGAGCTAATTGAAATGCAGCCGGAAATTCACTGGTGGGACCAACAGAACTGACATTGCCGTTCTGTTCTTCTTCACTATTGCAAAATTGCATATGCCTGAAAATGACAATATTGTGTTTTGTTCATAACAACAGTGGTGGAAAAAGTACCCAATTGTCATACTTTACTAAAAGTAAAATACCTTTTAATAGAAAATGACTCAAGTAAAAGTGAAAGTCACCCAGTAAAATACTACTTGAGTAAAAGTCTAAAAGTATTTGGTTTTAATTGTACTTAAGTATCAAAAGTAAATGTAATTGCTAAAATATACTTAAGTATCAAAAGTAAAAGTAAAAGTATAAATAATTTACAATCCCATATATTAAGCAAACCAGACAGAACAATTGTCTTGTTTTTTTATTTAATTTATGGATAGCCAGGGCACACTCCAACACTTAGACATAATTGACAAACGAAACATGTATTTAGTGAGTCCGCCAGATCAGAGGCAGTAGGGATGACCAGGGATGTTATCTTGATAAGTGCGTGAATTGCACCATTTTCCTTTCCTGCTACGCATTCAAAATGTAACGAGTACTTTTGGGTGTCAGGGAAAATGTATGGAGTAAAAAGTACATTATTTTCTTAAGGAATGTAGTGAAGTAAAAGCAAAAAAAGATAAATAGTAAAGTACAGATACCCCAAAAAACTACGTAAGTAGTACTTTAAAGTATTTTTACTTAAGTACTTTACACCACTGCATAACAATAATACCTTAAATCGCATTCTATTTTTGGCATTGGTACCAGTTAGGCTACCACTGTGTTTTCAGGCCACACATCAATGTGGCATTATGTTTACCTTTCTATTCTGCATTCCTAATCTTCCTTTCTTTTCACAGTAGGACAACTTTTCACTAGGGACTATTATACCAATTAAAATAATGTTTACTGTTTGCAATGCTGTCGTCTATCAGAAAGCAATGGAAAAAGAATCTTGCAGGTCCACATTTATTTTCTATATAAAACAGTCTATGAACCAACTGTGTTTGAGTTTCCTGTGTTATAAATACTGTATATATTTCCACACTATGAGGTTCTAATAATACTGTGAAAATTATGGTGCTAAGAAGCAATTTTTGTTTCTTTTTGACCATTTTAATTTGAAAACAATCACAGTAAGGTACTTCATTGTTACCCAGAAATTATTTGATATTGAGATAAAAATGGCTGCATCGGACCTTAAAATACATTTTGTTCATATAGTGTTACGTTTTTCACTCTGCTCTTACAGATCACCTATAAGGCTCTGAGCTCCTTGGACCCCAGTGCAGACCTGACCACCCAGCGCGGCAGGGTGTTCAAGCTACGCAACGAGACCCACCACCTGTTCGTAGGGCTCTACCCGGGAACCACCTACTTTTTCACCCTCAAAGCCAGCACCAACAAAGGCTTTGGACCCCCTGTCACCACCCGCATCGCCACCAAGATAGCAGGTGAGGGAGACTTCTTCAGAGCAGATAGTAGTAGTGATGTTTCGTTGGTATCCTAAATTCACATACATACAGCTGCAAGCACTATGACATAAATTACGTGATACATGCACCATTGTACTATGGTAGTTTTGTTCTCATTTTTCATTAATTGTTTTTGTTTTTGTTTTTGTTTTTTATCCATTGTAAAAAATAAATAAAAACTGTAATTGACCGTAATTAACATGAACACATTTAGCATCTCCTGGCTTCCACACATAGCCTACAAGCCACTGATGCAGAACTTTGGAACATCTACATTTAAAAAAGTATAATAATGTAATATAGCCTACACCTTCACAATAAATCCACTATTTATTTTAGACAGGTCTAAAGAAACATGATATGAAGAAAATGTAGTCTATTTCAGAAGAACAGAATAGCATACTCTGAGTTGTCCTTATGTTAGGTCCTCATCTGGCTATGCCAAATGGCTGTGGGCTACACTAGTTCATTTAGCAGAGAAGATTTGCTTAGAATTCCGTGGCATTATTTTATATTATTTTATAGTATGAAGAATACAATTGAACATAGCTGAAGAAAATATAAAGGATATTTTCTCCAAACGATTTGAGGGAGTGCACACGTGCGGCTATTCTGTGTTGAGCGGTTAACAAAGAAACAGGTACTCCTATATGCTTAATTTAGAATTATTTATGTAACTTTAGTTGCGATACAAATGTTGGGCTATATGTTTAGATTTTTTATACATTCTAAGGCTGCATGATGCGACTCTAATGATGATTTGAAAAAGGTTTCATGAAAGGCATGAGCTCTGCTTTGTTTTTTGTGCAGGCTGTACACACTTCATCAGTCTCTCATTCAGAATTTGACAAGCAATTGATAATGCCTCGAATTTCCCGGCTGCATCCCCTTTGTGTGGCCATAATGCCCCCTAAAAAATTCCATCCCTTTCGCGGCCGTTGTGCCCTTGGGCTGAATATAATAATTATAATTCCCTTCTCCCGGCTGCGTGCCTAAGGACCTCTCACTCACATGGCTCTTAATCACATGATCGGGTCTTTCTCACAGGCTACAAGTGAAGACAGACACATCGGGGACGCAACTGTGCGCGTCTTTATCCAATTCCGAGGTGCATATTGAAGATATTGGAAGAACTGTCCACATTTACTTTTTGTCAGCCAACAAGATGAGTAGGCCTAATGAACAGCAAAAGCACTAGCCTATGTCAATCTACTATCCCCCATAGTACAAAAGTTGATCTATTCTATTCTGTGCAACAAATAAACATTCCAAACATAGTCTGGGACAGTTGTGGGATGCGATAGATCCCAAATTAATACAACCACTAGCATTAAAAAAACTGTGTTAAGCAATGAGCCTGACGCAACAGATGAGAACATTTAGCTTAAAATGTTGATAAACTATTAGGCTATTTCTTCACATTATAAGCACAGCAATGCGCACATGGCAGTAGGCTATAAGCGTGAATGTTCCATTAGCAGGAAAATACCATTCTCAAGAATGACCACAAATGTGATTATGCATGTAATGCTTTTATTGAAACTCATGCTCTGCGTATGTATGCCAGTTAGGCTCTACACTCGTTGTAAAGTGGATTAATGTGCTTCATTTTAAGAAGTTATTTGGCCACTTTAGTTGTGATACAAACCTTATCAAAACATATAGGCCTATGGGCTAGGCTACATGAGGTGTGCGACTATGATTTGAAAATGTCGCAAAAAAAGCATGTGCTGTTTCTTGCCTTAAGCTGGACATCATTCACAAGTGATAATATATCCTTCACTAGTGATAGGCTAATATTGTCACCCATCACACTATTCTTGATTTAATATTGTCTTTACATACACTAAATAATACACAGTACCAGTCAAAAGTTTGGACACACCTACTCATTCAAGGGTTTTTCTTTATTTTTAAAAATGTTTACATTGTGGAATAATAGTGAAGACATCAAAACTATGAAATAACACATATGGAATCATGTAGTAACCAAATAAGTATTAAACAAATCAAAATATATTTTATATTTGAGATTCTTCAAATAGCCACCATTTGCCTTGATGACAACTTTGCACCCTCTTGGCATTCTCTCAACCAGCTTCATGAGGTAGTCACCTGGAATGTATTTCAATTAACAGGTGTGCCATCTTAAAAGTTAATTTGTGGAATTTCTTTCCTTCTTAATGCGTTTGAGCCAATCAGTTGTGTTGTGACAAAGTAGGGGGGGTATACAGAAGATAGCCCTATTTGGTAAAAGACCTAGTCCATATTATGGCAAGAACAGCTCAAATAAGCAAAGAGAAACGACAGTCCATCATTACTTTAAGACATGAAGGTCAGTCAGTACGGAACATTTTAAGAACTTTAAAAGTCTCTTCAAGTGCAGTCGCAAAAACTATCAAGCGCTATGATGAGACTGGCTCTCATGAGGACCGCCACAGGAATGGAAGACCCAGAGTTACCTCTGCTGCAGAGGATAAGTTCATTAGAGTTACCAGCCTCAGAAATTGTAGCCCAAATAAATGCTTCACAGAGTTCAAGTAACAGACACATCTCAACATCAGCTGTTCAGAGGGGACTGTGTTAATCAGGCCTTCTTGGTCGAATTGCTACAACTACTAAAGGACACCAATAAGAAGAAGAGACCTGCTTGGGCCAAGAAACACGAGCAATGGACATTAGACCGGTGGAAATGTGTCCTTTGGTCTGGAGTCCAAATTTGAGATTTTTGGTTCAAACCGCTGGTCTTTGTGAGAGGCGGTGTGGGTGAACGGATGATCTCAGCATGTGTATTTCCCACCATAAAGCATGGAGGAGGAGGTGTTATGGTGTGGGGGTGCTTTGCTGGTGACACTGTCTGTGATTTATTTAGAATTCAAGGCACACTTAACCAGCATGGCTACCACAGCATTCTGCAGCGATACGCCATCCCATCTGGTTTGGGCTTAGTGCGACTATCATTTGTTTTTCAACAGGACAATGACCCCACACACATCCAGGCTGTGTAAGGGCTATTTTACCAAGAAGGAGAGTGATGGAGTGCTGCATCAGATGACCTGGCCTCCACAATCCCCTGACCTCAACCCAATTGAGATGGTTTGTGATGAGTCGGACGGCAGAGTGAAGGAAAAGCAGCCAACAAGTGCTCAGCATACGTGGGAACTCCTTGAAGACTGTTGGAAAAGCATTCCAGGTGAAGCTGGTTGAAAAAATGCCAAGAGTGCAAAGCTGTCATCATGTCAAAGGGTGGCTATTTGAAGAATCTCAAATAAAAAATATATTTTGATCTGTTGAACACTTTTTTGGTTACTACATGATTCCGTATGCGTTATTTCATTGTTTTGATGTCTTCACTATTATTCTACACTGTAAAAAATAGTACAAATTAAGAAAAACCCTTGAATAAGTAGGTGTGTCCAAACTTCTGACTGGCACTGTATGTGTGAAATTTGTTTTGATTTAGAATGGACCATTATCATGCACCTGTCTCAAAACAGGGGCATCGGAAAGAAATACACGTCATCTATGCACTTAAATAGTGAATGGAGGACGCTTTTCCCTTGGTTCATTTTCATGCAAGCCATGTAGGCTTGTTGTAAAGCGAAGCAATGTGCTTAATATCAGGAAAGTTGAGAAATTAATATAGTAGGCTTAGCCTATAGAAAGCTGATGGGATCCTCCTTTTTTCAATAGAGGCCATCACTCAGTTTTCTCACACAATTGCATAGCCTATAGAAATGTTGCGCAACATGAGCTCATGGGCTCTCATGAAGTGTTCGATTAGATTTTCGATTACATTTACATTAATGTAAGGCCCTCCTGTAGCTCAGTTGGTAGAGCATGGTGCTTGCAACGCCAGGGTTGTGGGTTTGATTCCCACGGGGGCCCACTAACTGTAAATCGCTTTGGATTAGAGCGTCTGCTAAATGACTAAAATGTAAATGTAATGTCAGAGTGAATAGAGGGACAATAGAGTGCTGAGTATCAGGCAGTTAGCAAGTTTGGTAGGCTACTAATGACCATCAGCAGCATCAGAGCTTGGAGAAGCCTAATTACCGTTACTAAACGGTCACGTGGAATTTGACTGCCGTCATGACTTGTGACCGCCGGTGTGGTGGTAATACGGTCACTGTAACAGCCCTACGTCTGACAACTGCCCACAAAATATCGCTCTGTTTTCTAAGAATATTTCTCAGAACAAGGCTCGAACAAATTACTAAGACTAGTAAGGCCAGCGTGTTGTTATTCATTTGTTCTTAGAATGCCGCAATTAAAAAAAATTGACACACCTTCTTCTCATTAGTGGCCTCTCAAATGTGTATATAAGGAAGCATGCTGGGAATGATTCATGAAGTGGCATGAGTCTCACCATGGAAATAAAGGAGGATTAGAGCAATAACATCTACATACGTGGTCAAACAAAGTTGGGTTGAGGAAAATCACGTCATTGGCACGTCATTGACACATCAATTCAATGCTTTTGCTGACAGTCAAAATCTCTCTAGAATGGCAATTTACCTCACATACATTCACACAACATAGCAACCAAACAGACCCCACATACATTCACACAACATAGCAACCAAACAGTGAGCAATTGTTTAACATTGTACATCATTCATTTGAACCATGTCATTCACTGACATTCATAGATAGAAATGGTGTAACAAAAGCATGAAGGATTTGTCTTCTTATCTCTGATAGTAAACATTCCCTGTCTTAGTTGTCAGTCATACAGTAGACTAGAGCCTTGATGGCCTGCAGCATCAACACCATTCTCTTTGAATCCTTGAACGATTTGGCATTTCTAATTCCAGTCTGCTGCGATTTATCTAATCAAGGTTGTCCTATGAATGTTTTGGAGATAATGAAGATTGGGGAAGACGTGACATTTTAGAGAGATGGCACATTCGTGACGTGTATTGGGCAAGGTTTTCACACCAACACGCTTGTGTTAGGGTACATCTTTAAAAAGGTCAATCTTTAGCAATGGCTTCATGGACAACATTGACTTAAATCCATAGATGGAGATGGTCTATGTAGGTACTGTGACTGTATGCCAATACTCTATAGTGCATTAGCTTCAGAAATCACAGGGCTGACTCCACTATTTCATGATGTCAGGGGACCAAGTCTGTTGATTGTGGGTTTTAAAGATAATAATTCAAAAGGGGTTGTGTTTACTAGGAAACAAAAGTAACAAAACAGACTCAATCATTTTCGTTTTTCATTGCAAAACATTTCAAACGTTCTCCGTTGCGTGCCCTTATAAACACAACTCTGTCTCATACCCTCTGAATCTTTCCCCACCAGCCCCATCAATGCCGGAGTACGAGACCGACATGCCCCCTCTTAACGAGACGGACACCACCATCACAGTTCTGCTGAAGCCTGCGCAGTCCAGAGGAGCTCCCGTCAGGTACCACACTATGACATCACTTCAGTCAGGTCCATTATGTCTGCAGTACGGTAGTTAGTTACATGTCCAAGTGTCTCCATTTTGGAAGTGTTTACTTAAACCTAGTCTGTTTTTCTCTGCTTCAAATGTGAAAACTCTTGCGTAAAGCCTAACTCACACATTTTTTTTTGCTTGGCATTATGGAGGTGTCAGATTGACAAAATAATTGTGTGGGAAGATTTTATGTTAAATTGTATTAATTGGTTGTTGTTACTGCTTATCTGCAGAATAAGAAAATAATTGGTCATACACAACACATGATAGTGCAGTTAACACTTAGGCCTATTTGCACAAGGTTCAACCAAAGCATTACCCCCTTTCTTTCTCTAAAAAGACAAGTTACAAGCTTTTATTCCAACCTTGAAATGATTCACCGAAGTCCACAGAATCACACTACAAACTTTCCCCCTCATGCACTTAAGGAGATCACGGATATCATGGACACATTAGAACTAATGCATATATGGAGGCTTAAAAACCCTGAGCTAGTGAGATCAGGTATACATGGAGGAGGATTAATCAAGCTAATCGTCGTGACTATTTTCTTGTGTCCTTCCCACTGGCACCAAAAGTTTGAAAAAGTGTTGATAGGAGACAGAATGCGATCAGACCACCATCTAATTGGCATCCACATAACTCTTACCGAATTTCCATGTGGGCAAGGATATTGGAAATGTAATCAAAGCCTACTGGATGACAAGCTGTTTTAACCAAGACAAAATCATTTATAACTGACTTTTTCCTGCATAACATAGGTACAGCAGATCCCCTTATTGTATGGGATACTTTCAAATGTACCTTCAGAGGCCATGCAATTCAAGACTAATCTTTAAAGCAAAAACTAATTTAGGTCAAATGAGATTAGACTAAAAAAGGAAACAGAGGAACTAACACCACAGATGGATGGCAATAAAAACAGTACCATAGAGGCACAGAATAAGTTAGAGTAAAAACATAAAGAACTGGAGGAACTTATTCAAGAACAATGAAGTGTAATATATAAAACGAATTAAGCAAACTGGATGGAAAATTGTGAAAATGCACCAAATTGTTTTAAATCTTCAATTATGAAGATTAAAACATAATTTGGGGCATTCTTCACCATTTTCCATCCACAAAGAATTTACAGAAACACGTTACAAATGACGGAGTCATGCATGATTCACCAAATTATATTTTGAAAGAGGAAGCTAAATATTTTAAGCATATGTTCTCTTTTCAGTCTCCTCCATCTCCACTGAATGATGTTAAATGTAATGATGTTTTCCTAATAATAGTGTAAAATTAACAACTGTACAGAAAGACTTGTGTGAAAGCCACATTACAGAGGAGGAATTTCTTGATGCAATGAATTCCTTTCAGTCCGGAAAAACTCCAGGGCTTGATGGCATACCAGTTGAGTTACAGTATATTAAACCTTTTTTGATATGCTCAAAGATCCACTATTCACATGTTTTAACTACTCCTATAAAAATGGTAGACTATCAGATACACAGCAAGAAGGTCTGATTTCAATATTACTAAAACAGGACCCAGGTGGTAAGTGTAAAGATCCAGTCCATTTATTAAACTGGAAGCCCTTTACACTTCAATGTTATGATGCAAGAATCCTGGCAAAATGCATAGCGCATAGAATTAAAATGGTTTTATTGGATATTATCCATCCTAATCAGACAGATTGTTTTTACATTGACAATACATTGGAGATAATATAAGACAATTACTTGAAACAATGGTTTGAAACATCGAAGAAACCAGGCCTGGTCTTCATAGCAGATTTAGAAAAAACTTTGATAAAGTACGACTAGAATTTATATACACTGTACAAACATTAAGAACACATTCCTAATATTCTCCTACATTAATTTCACATTTCCACAAACTTCAAAGTGTTTCCTTTCAAATGGTATCAATAATATGTATATCCTTGCTTCAGGTCCTGAGCTTTAGGTAGTTAGATTTGGGTATGTCATTTTAGGCGAAAATTGAATAAAAGGGTACAATCCATAAGAGGTTAAAAGCTCATGATCTGCAATAGTTAGGACTGAAAACACCATATTTTACATTTTAGTCATTTAGCAGACGCTCTTATCCAGAGCGACTTACAGTTAGTGAGTGCATACATTTTTCATACTGGCCCCCCGTGGGAAACGAACCCACAACCCTGGCGTTGCAAGCGCATGCTCTACCAACTGAGCTACATGGGACTATGTATACCGTATGTTATGTATACCATATACACTGCTCAAAAAAATAAAGGGAACACTTAAACAACACAATGTAACTCCAAGTCAATCACACTTCTGTGAAATCAAACTGTCTACTTAGGAAGCAACACTGATTGACAATAAATTTCACATGCTGTTGTGCAAATGGAATAGACAGGTGGAAATTATAGGCAATTAGCAAGACACCCCCAATAAAGGACTGGTTTTGCAGGTGGTGACCACAGACCACTTCTCAGTTCCTATGCTTCCTGGCTGATGTTTTGGTCACTTTTGAATGCTGGCGGTGCTTTCACTCTAGTGGTAGCATGAGACGGAGTCTACAACCCACACAAGTGGCTCAGGTAGTGCAGCTCATCCAGGATGGCACATCAATGCGAGCTGTGGCAAGAAGGTTTGCTGTGTCTATCAGTGTAGTGTCCAGAGCATGGAGGCGCTACCAGGAGACAGGCCAGTACATCAGGAGACGTGGAGGAGGCCGTAGGAGGGCAACAAACCAGCAGCAGGACTGCTACCTCCGCCTTTGTGCAAGGAGGAGGAGCACTGCCAGAGCCCTGCAAAATGACCTCCAGCAGGCCACAAATGTGCATGTGTCTGCTCAAACGGTCAGAAACAGACTCCATGAGGGTGGTATGAGGGCCCGACGTCCACAGGTGGGGGTTGTGCTTACAGCCCAACACCGTGCAGGACATTTGGCAGAGAACAACAAGATTGGCAAATTCGCCACTGGCGCCCTGTGCTCTTCACAGATGAAAGCAGGTTCACACTGAGCACATGTGACAGACGTGACAGAGTCTGGAGACGCGGTGGAGAACGTTCTGCTGCCTGCAACATCCTCCAGCATGACCGGTTTGGCGGTGGGTCAGTCATGGTGTGGGGTGGCATTTCTTTGGGGGGCCGCACAGCCCTCCATGTGCTCGCCAGAGGTAGCCTGACTGCCATTAGGTACCGAGATGAGATCCTCAGACCCCATGTGAGACCATATGCTGGTGCGGTTGGCCCTGGGTTCCTCCTAATGCAAGATAATGCTAGACCTCATGTGGCTGGAATGTGTCAGCAGTTCCTGCAAGAGGAAGGCATTGATGCTCTAGACTGGCCCGCCCGTTCCCCAGACCTGAATCCAATTGAGCACATCTGGGACATCATGTCTCGCTCCACCCACCAACGCCACGTTGCACCACAGACTGTCCAGGAGTTGTCGGATGCTTTAGTCCAGGTCTGGGAGGAGATCCCTCAGGAGACCATCCGCCACCTCATCAGGAGCATGCCCAGGCATTGTAGGGAGGTCATACAGGCACGTGGAGGCCACACACACTACTGAGCCTCATTTTGACTTGTTTTAAGGACATTAAATCAAAGTTGGATCAGCCTGTAGTGTAGTTTTCCACTTTAATTTTGAGGGTGACTCCAAATCCAGACCTCCATCGGTTGATAAATTTGATTTCCATTGACAATTTTTGTGTGATTTTGTTGTCAGCACATTCAACTATGTAAAGAAAAAAGTATTTAATAAGATTATTTCATTCATTCAGATCTAGGATGTGTTATTTTAGTGTTCCCTTTATTTTTTTGAGCAGTGTATATCTGAGTACCTTTTAATATGTAATGTGTATCTCAAACTATATTTCTGTCATGTAATACTGTGTATAAAAGTACCATGTATGAATAACATATACGTAACAAAATAGCTGTAAAAAATGAAAATGTAAAACAAAGTTTTGTCCGCCGGAGTTAGTTTTATGGGCCAATAAAAATAAAATATATTTTAAAAAAATAAAGACAAGCACAGAAAGTCCATCCACTTCGCATGTATCCCAATCTTAAAATGGTTCACCAAAGTCCACTGAATCTATTAAATGAAAAATATAATTATTGTTGGTCTGGTGGGTTTTTGAGGTATTAGTAGCAGTCATTGAAATAAGTGCAATTTTAATGCAAAAGGAATTAAGGGGATCAAGATACAGTGAGGGAAAAAAGTATTTGATCCCCTGCTGATTTTGTACGTTTGCACACTGACAAAGACATGATCAGTCTATAATTTTAATGGTAGGTTTATTTGAACAGTGAGAGACAGAATAACAACAAAAAAATCCAGAAAAATGCATGTCAAAAATGTTATTAATTGATTTGCATTTTAATGAGGGAAATATGTATTTGACCCCTCTGCAAAACATGACTTGGTGGCAAAACCCTTGTTGGCAATCACAGAGGTCAGACGTTTCTTGTAGTTGGCCACCAGGTTTGCACACATCTCAGGAGGGATTTTGTCCCACTCCTCTTTGCAGATCTTCTCCAAGTCATTAAGGTTTCGAGGCTGACGTTTGGCAATTCGAACCTTCAGCTCCCGCCACAGATTTTCTATGGGATTAAGGTCTGGAGACTGGCTAGGCCACTCCAGGACCTTAATGTGCTTCTTCTTGAGCCACTCCTTTGTTGCCTTGGCCATGTGTTTTTGGTCATTGTCATGCTGGAATATCCATCCACGACCCTTTTTCAATGACCTGGCTGAGGGAAGGAGGTCTCACCCAAGATTTTACGGTACATGGCCCCGTCCATCGTCCCTTTGATGCGGTGAAGTTGTCCTGTCCCCTTAGCAGAAAAACACCCCCAAAGCATCATGTTTCCACCTCCATGTTTGATGGTGTTCTTGGGGTCATAGGCAGCATCCCTCCTCCTCCAAACACGGCGAGTTGAGTTGATGCCAAAGAGCTCGATTTTGGTCTCATCTGACCAC